ATTTTTTTCAGCTTTAATTGAGTTTATTGGTACATTTTAGGGATACAGTACAGTTACATTCATTGTTGGGATCTTGTACCTCTACATGACAAGTCTTGATTCTCCTAAGTGAAATAAATAAGTCACACATGGGTAAATAACGAATAGTTTCCCTGGTGTGAATAATCTGCAACAATGCATAGAATGTACATCATTTATTTGGAAAGTCTATGCTTTGATATTTTCTTGCCTTTCTGTCTTTTGGAAAACCATTTTTTCCCAAATGCAGACCCCAGGAAAAATGCTGGTGGAAAAATCCCTTTGCCTCTTGTAATATGCTCCTATTGGCAGAGAATTTTATATGGTGCCAAAGAAAAATAAAGTAGATTTTAAAAGAAATGGTTTTAATAGGCAGACATTTTCCCATTATTTACAACTGTGTATTTTTGTGGAATGTTAAGATTTACACAAGCATTTTTTTCTTATTTCCTCAAAATGATTCCCCTTCTTTTAGCCTTGATTTTAGTATTACCATATATGAAATTTACTTTAAGAACTTCACTGTAGAGACAGTGATTTCAAAACTGTGTGTTTGTTTAAAGTACGTTCTTAGGCAACTGGTTGTCTAATAGAAGCCCTCCTCTCTTGAATTGTCTGCAAGCAAGCTAACATTACATGAGAAAGGACATACTCTCTACTGCAACATACTTTCTACAGTGTTCCAGCTATGTTGATCTCAATTAATGTCACTACATAGTAAAATGAATGTCAAAAATCCTCTCCTTGGTGACATTTGATACCTGAGTGTAGTTTAATGAATCTTCCCATCCTAGCATGAACCCAGAACATGAATTTTCACAAGTTCTGTAGCCTCTGTTCTCAGAGACACATTCAAGACTTGATCTCCAGAGCAGCCTTAGGGTCTGGCCACTAGACCAGAGGACCCTCATTTTCTGACAGTTACTAACCACTGAGAAAAAATCTGATGAGCTGGTAAGCAGAACAAAACAGCTCTCTCTAGATTCTATAACCCCAACTTGTGTCAGCTCACCCAAAATAATGTCTTTGTGTTTCAGTGATGAGCAAACTGATCTACAACATTTATTCTTTTAAACTATTTTTAAAAAGCACATTCAGAAGTCTATCACTGTTGATTGTTTTCTTAGCTAAAACTTGGAAACAACCCAAATGCCCATCAACTGGAGACTGGAAGTTATTTGCAATATTTAATATGTAGTTGGGAGGTGGGAGATGATGATAAGGGTTATAAAGAAAGCCTAATAAGAGTCCTGTCTCTGTAGGCTGAAGCAATTTGTGAACAGTGATAGTTTTTCTACTATCACTAATTCAAGTGGTTTAATTCCATTGTACTACAATCAACAAATGAGGAGTTGACTAAATCATAAGGAAATCACTTCTGGTTTCAGCTACAATATGTCAAGACCACAGAAACAATCACTCCAATCCTTAAAACAAGAAAATACTGAAAATCAACTCTTCAACTTCTCAGAACATTGAGGTTAGAGGAAAAACTATCACTCTGAAATTTTGGAAGCCAGATAGATACAGAGAATCACAGCCAAATACAGAGAATCACAGCAGAGATATATAGATGAAGCAGCAACTGCAAGAACTGTAAACTCTTAGGAACACTTAAATAATAATTTTCAAGACCGGCTGGGGGCTCGAGTGTGAATTAGCTTGAAAGAGAGAATCCTTGGGTACCCAGATTTAGCAGGCTGTCAGGCTTTTCTGAGTCTTACCACCAATAATCCCCCAGTTCTCATGGTAAATAGCTAAGAAAAACCCTTGTTTCTGGCATGAGGAAGAGGGAAGAAATTTTGAGAGAAAGTTGGACATTCTTCCCAACAAGACAAATCTCTAAAATAAACAACTTTACCAGATACGTATTCCACTTCTGAGAAAGACAAATATGCAACTCTGGTCCCTTCAGCCTTCTTGCCTTACCTGAGGGGAGAAAAAAAGTTAAACCCTTACAGAGCCAGGGCTTTAGCTCAGTGGTTCCACCACCCTCCTCGCAAGCACAAGGTCCAGAGTTTGATACCCCGGTAAAAAAAACAAAACCAAAACACTTACAAAATTCAGTCATAGAACAGGGATACAGGCCCACAAAAGACAGATTTCATCATATGATCACAGAGCACTTTTCTTCCTGGACACCAGACTACCACTCCAACAGGGCTCCAGTATAACAGTGGATTATAACCAAAATATCAGCAAGACACAGGCTGTACTCAAGAAGGAGCTCTTTAGAAAATGCAAAGACAAGAAGAGAGGCATAAACAAAGACACTAAGGGAAACTGAGACCTCTGGTACCTACAGCTACAATACATATTAAACATAACCCCACTCACAGCCTGATTAACATAAAACCTCAGACTGAAGGCCTGTTTGTCTCTATTCCTATTATTCAATGTATGTTTAAGTCTTGACAGAACATTACATAGTATGCTAAGAGTGAAAAAAAATCTGGAGAAGGCAAAGAAAATACATTTGAATAGCCATCAAATTTGGAATTATTATTAGTATACGAATGTATCTAGTGGAAAAAGTAAACAACCTGAAAGAACAGATGGATTTCTGTAAGCAGGACTGTAGTATAAAATGAATAGCAAACACTAAAAATAAAAAAAACATTTTAAAAGAAATATAGACTGTCTTTCATGGGTTCCTTGCTAAAGTAGACACCAACAAGAAAAGAATCAATGGACAGGATGGTGTGAAAAAAAAATAAATCTTATTGCAGTTTTCAATCCAAATGCAGTTAAAGAAAGCCAAAAAAGAGGACAAGATTTTCAGTTTTTGTTTTTTCATTAAGTTTACTGGTGCATTTTAGGTTTACAGTACAGCTACATTCATCATTGGGATCTTGTACCCTTACATGACGTATCTTGGTTTTCATTTTTTCCCATTCCCCTGCCCTCTCTTCACCCCTTCCACCTTCCCTATTTACAAAGATTTTCTTTCCATGCCTTTCGATTTCTCATATTTTTTCTTTTCCTTTCTTTCCTTCCCCCTACCCCTCCCACTTCCTCTACTCCTTTAGACATTTTCTTCCTATTTCACAATACCAATTATGCATTTTGATCCTTATTTACACTTTTAGTTTTTCACACCAGAGAAACTATTTGGTATTTACATGTGTATCCTCTTCATTTCACTTAAGAGCATGGCCTCAATGTGCATCCACTTAGGTATAAATGTCTCTAGTTTCTTGTTCTCTGAATAGTACTCCATTTTATAATTATACACACACACACACACACACACACACACACACACGCACGCACGCACACACATCTTCTTCATCCAGTCTCTAATTGATGGGAAACTGGGCTGTTTCCAAGTTTTAGCTATTACATATTACAAACTGTGCTGCAACAATCATGGGTGCACATCAATCACTGTGGCATGATTCTTTTAATTCTTTTGGGAAGATATCCAATAGAGGAATAGCTAGGTCAAATGGAACCTCTAATCCTAGTTGTTTGAGGCATCTCCATATTGATTTCCATGGTGGTTGCACCAGTCTGCACTCCCACCAAAAATGAAGAAGGGTTCCTTTTTTCCCACAACCCTGCCAGCATTTGTTATTGGTTGATTTCATTATACCAGCTGTTTTTTCCAGGGTGAGGTGAAATCTCAGTGTTATTTTCATCTACATAGCTTGAATGAACTATCACAAAGAATCAACAAATAGGATCTCATCTTATTAAAAAGCTTCTGCACTGCAAGAGAAACCACCAACAGAGCAGAAACAACCTACAGCATGGAAAAAATTTTTCACCAGCTTTTCCTCAAACAAACGTCTACTATTTAGAATATATAAAGAACTCAAAAAAATCAGATCCCCTAAATATAAAAACCCAATTTAAAAATGGGCACCTGAAATGAACAGCCATTTCTCAGACAAAGAAGTAAAAGCAGCAAATAAACATGAACAAATGTTCAACATCAGAGGACAAGATTCTTTAAAAGGACAAGAAATAGAAAAGTTACAGACATGGTAGAAATCAAGTAAATAATATCACTGTACTAGTCTTCTTGGTTTACCGTAACAAAATAGCAGAGATCAGATGTGTTAAATAACAGAAATTAATTTGGGGTGCTACAAGTTCATGATTCGTGTTCTGACCAACTCAGTTTCTAGTGAGGCTCTGTTCCTAGCTTATAGACATATTCATGTTATATTCTCAGATGACCTCCCCTTGGTTGGTGCTGAATATGGAGGTGGAGTGTGGAAGAAAGACAGAAAGAAGAGGGAAAGAGAGACAGAAAGAGGAGGGAGGAGAGACAGAAAGAGAGGAAGAGAGACCTGGTTTCTTTCTTGTATGGAAATTAATCCTATCCTCTAAGAGCAATATTTTTCCCAACAACAGCAGAATACACATTTTTTTTTCAAACTCACATGAAGCATTCATCAAGATAGACTATATATGTGCAATTAATAAAACACAAAAATTTTTAAATAATATAAATCATACAAAATATGTTTTCAGATCACAATGGATTTAAGCTAAATATCAGTAGCAGGAAAAAAACCTAGAAAACCCAAATATACTAAAACATCTCTTAGAAAAGGCAAAATATCTCATACATTTAAAACATTTTTAACAAAATTAAAATGAAAATACAATTCATCCAAATTTGTAGAATGCAGCAAAAATAGGCTTAGGAGGAATTCATAGTATTAGATATCTATATTAGGAAAGATGAAATATCTACACTGAATAATTTAAGCATCCACCCTAGGAAATTATAGAAAGAGGATCAATTTAAACCTAAAGCAAGCAAAAGATATGAATAAAAATTAGAAGAGAAATCAATGACACTGAAAATAGGCAATCAATATAAAAATCGACAAAATAAAATAATGTTTTTTTCTTGAAATAGCGATAAAACTAATAAACTGTAAATTAAAATATTGTCAGTTTCATTGCTCTAATAGAATACCTGCAACTAGATAACTTGCAATGAACAGATATTTATTTTCCTTAGTTCTGGAGGTGAAGAAGTTTATGATTGAGTGGCCAGCATCTGATGAGGGCCTTCGTGATGGGTCTTCCTAGGGCACCATGAGGGGCAGAAAGAAAGAGAAGGGAGGGTGGAGAGAGAAAAGGTGGAAGGTAGAAGCCCATTAAAACGGACTCACACTCAGAATAATGGTATTAACTATTTCTAAGGACAGAGCATTCGTGGGCTAATCACCTCTTAATGTCTCTACTTAAAACTATCACAGGGTAATTAAATTTCGTCATAAATTTTGAATGGGACAACATCATAGAATAGCACCAGGCTAAGAATAAAAAACAGCAGACCAAAATTTCTAATATTATAAATGAAAGAGAAATCATAAATGTTGATTCTCTGTAAATCTAAAAGATAATAAAAGAATATTATCAACAATTCTATGTCCACAAGTTTGCTAATTTAGGTGAAGCAGACTGGCTCCTTAAATAATCACACTTCTCAACTGATAAGAAGAAAAAAATAATCTGAATGGGTCCACCACATCTGTTGAATAATTAGTTATTTCCAAAGTAGAAAGTATAAGGTTCAGATAGTTTTAGTAGTGAATTCTGCAAAACATTCAAGGAAAACACACCAATTTTCTGCTTTCAGACCTAGAAAATAGAAGCAGAAGGAATGCTTCCTAATTCTATCTATTAAGCCAGCATTACTCTAACACCAAAATCAGATAAAGATATTATAAGAAAGAAAAACTACACATACACCAAGTTCTATTAAAAACCTAGATGCAAAAAGTACTTGCAAGTCAAGTCCAACAATATATAAAAGGTACGCCCTATGGATATATAGAGCTTATTTCAGGTATGCAATACTGGTTGAACATCAGAAAATTAATTATGTAATCTACTATGATCAATAGGCTAAAAACATCATATGATGTCAACTGGTTCAGCAAAACATTTGACAAAATCCAAATCTATGTATGATAAAAATCCTTGGCAAACTAAGATAAAAGTAAGACTTCCTCAAGATGATATATAATATTTCCAAAAACTCTATAGTTACATGATGTTTAATGTTCAGAAACTACATATTTTCCTAAAATAAAGGACAAGAAATTATGTCAAAAATGTCCCTTTTTTTCCTCTTCCTACTCAGCATTATGCTAGAAATCCAAATGCCTGTGATAAAATAATAAAAGGGAATTCATGCATTTGGGGAAAAATAAAACTAATAAAAGCCTGATAAACAAAATCCAATTTTTTCCTATATAACAATGGGAATTCTAAATTTAGAACAATACCATATATAACATCACCAAAAGAAATGAAACACTTGGGTATAAATCTAATGAAAATAATCTAACAAGATCTATATGTGGACAACTGCAGTTTTATTAAAGATATTGAAGAAATTATAAACAAATGGGCAACATTCTACATTTATGGACCGTGAAATTCAGTATTGTTAATATGTTCCTTATTTCTAACTTGATCGATATATTTAATTCAAATCTAATCAAAACAGAGCTAATTATAGTTTGTGGATAGTAGCAAATTGATTCTAAAGTCCATGTGGAGAAGAAAATACCCAGCATATTCAGCATGATACTGAAAACAGAGCAAAGCTGAAGGACTGACATTACTGGAAATCAAGACCTATTGTATAGTTACAATAATCAAGGCAACATGTCATTGGGAGAAAATAGACACATGGCAGAATGTGACAGACTAGAGAGCTCAGAAATATGGCCATAATAATGGCCAATTTATATTTGGCAAAATCAACTCAATGGACAGAGGACAGTCTTTGCAATAAATAGTGCTAGAAAGAAATTGTACATGTATACATGAAAAAGATGAATCTGGACACAAAACATACTCCCTACAAAAATAAACTAAAAAGGAATTGGGTAAAGTAGAAAGCAATAAAATTTATTGAAGGAAACATAGGAGGAAATACAGACTATATTTAGTGTGAGTGTTTAAACATAATATCAAATATATGATTCATGAGAGAAAAACTCAAATAAGTGGGAATTTGTTAAAATTAAAAACTTTTGCTTTACTAAAAACTGTTAAGAAAATGAAGTTTGATACTAGAGTTATCAGCTAGTGGTAGAGAACCTTTTTAACATGTGCAAAGCCCAAGATTTGATCCTCAGTACCAAAACTAAAATAAAATAATAGATTGGACGAAAATATTTGAGAAACACAAATGTCATTATACAGTCATCAAAATATACAAAGAACTTTTATTGTTTTTGTTTTTGTTCTTTTTACTGGGATTACAGGCGTGTGCCACCATGCCCAGCTGAACTTTTATTGTTTAGCAATAAGAAAACAACACTTTTTGAAAATATATCTGAGTGGATATTTCACCAAAGAAGACAGCAAATAAGTATATTTAAAACTGTCCAACGTAATTTTCATTAGAGAATTAGGAATTAAAACAACAATGAGATAATAATATAAATCTATTAGAGTGGTCACATTAAAAATCTGATACTACTAAATGCTGATGTAGACGAGGAGTAACCAGAACTCTCATTTATTCCTGGAAAATGTATGATTCAATTATATGGGTCATCTTGGATGACAATCTGGAAATTTTTTGCAAAGCTAATGAATACAGCGACCCTATCATCACCATTCCGAAGTCCTGTAGTCTCAGTCTGATCATAAGAAAAACGTGAGCCAGACTGGAGGGGCATTCTCAAGATCATCACCACTAAGGAAAAGTCTCAGGAAAATGTCTACAGAGATCCAACTTGACATGATTGCAGCCATCCTGGTCACAACCACCATTTTGCTCAGCTGATTACCATGGCAAATATCCTAGAAGACCAACACAGCCATTAATAGTCAGACAAGCTTGTACCTGACCCGGACATCTGTACTCTTTCTGAACTCATGTTGGAAGTATTAATAGTTTTGGGAACGATGGGTACATTCCAACTGGCTATGGCCCACCCTTGTCTAGTGTAGCATAGAAAACGCTTCTTTCTGCCTTGGGCCCCGGGGTTCCGCTTGTCTTACCACTGCCATGAAAGATCACATTTCTGTCCATTAGTCCCTCATGGCATTTTGTGCAATCTTGAATGAATTCACTTCTTGCTTTGTTCTCCCAGGAACTTCTATCTTCTCATGGCCAGTTTGCATGCACTAGGCCCGGGTTTTTCTGAAACAATATCAGCAGAGAGGAGCCTGGAGAGGCATAATAAATAATGTAATGCAGTATCTTGGATAGGATGCTAGAATAGCAAAAGGACAGCAAGCAAAATCTAAGGAAATTTGATGAAAAAAGACCCAACACTTTAATTCATGACAATATATCAATATCGGTTAGTTAATTCTAACAAGTACATGATACTATGGTGAGATGTTAATTATAGTAGAAATTGCATGGGAAGGTACATAGGAATGTTATACTTTCTGCCCCATTTTTTTAAAATTTAAAACTTTTACAAAATAAAGTCTAGTAAGAAAAAAGTGTAAAAATAAATATGTTCAGCCACTCCCTATACAGTATAAAATAAGGCCCACTCCATTGTCAACCATCATGAACAATCTTAACCATTTCCATTTCCTGAGACTTCTGAATATCAAAAATAAAGATGGATTGATACTGGGCTATAAAAATTTTAGACACAAATTTTTCTTTTTTTACTTTATTAAAACATAAAACAAAATTTCATTCAAATAATAAGAAAACACTGTGTTTCAATATCTTCAAAGTAGCTACTCAGAATATAAGATACAAACCAAAAAGATTCTTACAAAAAATAAACAGATAATACATAATTATTTTCACTGAAGTAAGATAAACTAGTAGTATGATGAAACTAATAAGCGTGTATGTGGAAATATTTTTAAGACAATGGAATTTGTAGTTTGGGAAATATTTGAACTTCTCCCTATTTCCTCCTGATCTCTCCTCTATTTTGTTCTTCATTTGTGTTATTCATATAATAGACACCATGCAATATTTGAGCTTGTGTGTCTGACTTAAACGGATCACTTAACAGGCAAACAGGAACTATAATATGATTGTCCTTTATTTTTGGTTTGTTTGTTTGTTGTTTGTTTTTTTCTGGTATTGGGGATTGAATTCAGGACCTTATGAGGCAGGCACAGAGCCACTGAGCTAAATCCCCAGCCCCAGTTGTCTTGTTTATAGGATAATTAATGGCATTTAAAGATATATTAATTCACAATGTATTACAGGCAGTTAAGTCACAAATATAAAGTTACATGATAAGTACTTTATCTCAGTCTCCTCTGTTTTGCTCTCTAGCTATATTGAATAAATACAATAAATTCGATTACAGCAGCAAACACTATATTCTACCAGGGACTATTAACATCTTCTCCATCACCATTTTACAGGTGAGACATTAAAATATGATGTGCTTGGTCTCACATCTAGAAAGGACAGACCTGGGACATGGGCTTGGGCAGACTATGTGCATCACCCAAGACTTCACAGTCTGCCTCTAACCAGGAGAATAAAATCATCACGAAAAAATATGCAAAAATATCTAAAACTGAGGCTTTCTGTACTGCACATACGAAATGGCTAACCACACCTCCACAAGAATTACACAGCTCCTGAAAGAGAGATTCCATACCTGGAGTCATGGTAAGGAGGAAGCAGGCATTCCCCAATGTCCCTCAGCTTGTATGTGTTTCCAGGCAAAACACCATTTGAATTTACTCTCAGGGTCTCCGGAATCATTTGCAACTCTGACCCAGGGCTGTTAAGTGTGGACTATTCCTCCCTACCTGGCATTCCTAGGAGATCCCTAAATTTAGTTCAGGACCTAGAGTGGCAGAGAGAAGACAAACAACCCTCCAGAGAGGTGCCCTAAGTAAGGGCTCTTGACCTTCTGCCACTGGGGAAAGTTTTGCAAATATTGTTCCGGGAGGGTACCTGACTTGGCTGATAGGGCAAACATCTCATTCCTTCAGGGGGAAGAAAAGAAGAATCAAGCATCCCTATTTCCTGAGGTTTCTCCTCTGATTAAGGCCATAGGCTGCCTTCCCCTTCCCCTGCCTCTTAGAAATGGTGTTTCCCTTGCAGCACAGATAAGATAAACACATATATTATTTTGTCTATTTAAATAATAAGAATAAACTTGAAAAACACCCACTTTATCCTCAAATCTGAGTATTTTAAATGACATACCTTCACGTTGTCTGCTTACTACCAAATGATCAGTAAAGATCTTATCTGTAATAAGAACACTTCCAAAAATCAGCTAAATTCCAATTACTACACTGTTCAATTAAGAAGAGTCATTAAATTCTAAGACAGAATTGGGCCTAGTAAGAAAAACCAGAACATTGCAGTAGCTTTTAATTGAAGATAGGTAACACAATTTTCTATTTTAGAAATTAAAAGAAAATCCTTACATTTATTTTCATTATAGTGATGAGGGGTATGGGTATTATATAGCATTTTTGTAATCATAGACAAGTCTCCTTACCCATCTGTATCTTGGTTTTCTCTTCTATATAAAAGGAATAATAATAATAATAATAATAATAATAATAGTAAATATTCTGAGTTATTGTGAGGATTGAATAATACATGTAATTAGTATGACCAGTATAATTATTATCCATGAGGAAATGAAACAGCAAATCTACCCAAGTAATTGGACAAATAAATTTCTGACATTATGTACTATGCTCAGAAGAGTTCATTCTACCCTTCCTTTTCACCTATGTCCTTTGTATTGATGACTAATTCTACATTCCCAAAATCTTTTTTGGAATTTAAACTTAAATATTAAAATATGTGTTAAGCATATAGACTTTGATTCCTGTAGATATTTTTATATTTAGTAGATTCAGGACTTGCTGAGAGACTTTCCCATGATATTGACAATTTTTAAAATATTTATTTATAGACAATGTGAGATATGTTTAGATTTTAAATGGTTATACATGTTAATTCTAATCTGTGTCATAGGAGGAAGAAGATAGATATTTCTATTTGAAGGGCCCCTTCAGGAATCAGTGTTTCAAGGATGGCTCTAAACATTTGAAATATCATCATTAAAATCTAAGATCCTAGAGGTTGTGATTATCTTAAGGAATATTAGAATTGTTTTTCAATTAAAAAATGAATGCCTTGCCAGGTGGGGTGGCACACACCTATAATCCCAGCACTTGTGAGGCTGAGGCAGGAGGATCGCTGTGAGTTCGAGACCAGCCTGGGCTACATAGTGAGTTCCAGGTCAGTCTCAACTACATAATGAGACCCTGTCTCAAAAATAAATAAATAAACAAACAAACAAATAAATAAATGTCTTCCAGAAAGGTGACTAGCTAGGAGTTGTTCTACAGGATCTACTGCCTTTCTGCAAACATGGAATAGTACCCCAGGCCCGCAAGCCTATGAGAGTTCTGGTGCAGAGCCTAAAGCTGAAGTCCCAAGGAATCAACATCCCCCTGCTGCATACAGCACCAAGAGCTTGGTGAGAAGCTTAGCTGCTCTTCACTCAGAGAACTAAAATCACCTCCTGTGAGTCTTTCTACAAGGTGCTGATGAGGTGCCTGGTGAAGAATATAAATACTGCCTTGTGTGCCTTTTTCCAACTCATGTTTCAACAGTTGCCAGATTCTGGTCTAAGACATGGTCTCAGGGTAACATCAAGGTTGTAAGAGAAAGCATGACCTACATGCACTTCTGCTCCATCAAAGGCCACATTTCCCACAGAATCTGGCACCTTCTAACCTTCCAAGTTGGCTTTCAAACGTCAAATCCTTTCTGATAATTGACTCCCTAGTTGACCAGATGCCTAAATCAGAAATATGGAAATTATTCTAGATTATTTGCTAGTCACACATGTACAGTATCTCCAGGGCATATCTTCAATGACATCACTCTTGATTGCGTGCTACTTTAGACCCCTGTCATCTGCCTGAAATAGCAGAAATGTTATCTTTATCTTTTAATTTAAAAACTTTATTAGAATCTTAGGCCTTAGAAATGTGATGACCAATAGCAATCCTTTATTATATTTATTAGTATGATACATGCTCGCCTTGCAAAATGTTTACATTCTTTGTGGAGTTGATACATGTATATAACACACCTTAATTTCTTTTTAAACCCATTTTCCCTGGCCCCCTCCCACCGCCCTCTATCTTCTTGATCTCCTTCCCAATTTAGGAAAGATCTCCCTACTACATTTTATCATATAAGGATGTTGGGTTTTGTCAAAGGCTTTTTCTGCATAAATTGAGATGGCTGTGTGATTTTTGTCCTTACTTCTGTTTATGTGTTGCATTACATTTCTGATTTGCTTTTGTAGAACCAATACGTGCATTTGCTATCCCAGCCTTCTTGTGCTGAGGACCATTGGGTAACACAGAAGAAATACACTGGGGCTGTTTTAGACAAGCACCAACCGTAGATACAAAACTGCGGAAAATGTGGCACTAAGTAGATCATGAAAGGAACTTGTTTACAGTAGAAGAGTTAAAGCAACAAAGTTGTTTGTCCTGAGGATGAGCTCAAAGGGGTGACTCATTTATACTGCTCTGTTCATGTCCATAAATGACCACAAAATCACTGTTAGCTTTGATTTTGAGGATACAAACAAATTGTTTTCAATTGGTGAGGGGAAAAATGACCAACAATGTGCTGGTTTGGTGTTCAGTAATTCTTAGTATCGTGTATATGAACCACTTAGTCATACCTGGAGGATCACAGGTGTTATTTCTTAGGGAAATCCTTCCTTATCTCTGTATATGAAGTTTGCCAAGAGGCAGAGAGAAGCCGGTTCAGGTCTTCCTGAAGCACTGAGTGGTGTCTCTAAACCACTCATGGTAAAGTTAAGGAAGCTATGATTCATCCCTCTGTCCACCCTTCCTTTATTGTCTCAGCTTGTTAGGGGTGACCTTCTGGAGAGATGTGCTGGGAAGAAAATGGAATCTGTGAGCTACGTCTGTTGCCATTGTAATGCTGGGTCATATAAAGTGCTTCAGAAAGAACAAAAATCTTTACTGTTCATGGATATTTTGGGTTCTATATACATCATTTATCTCTATATTTAATTCTTTCCCCTTATTTGGAGGGTTTTCTGTTACTATTTCCATAAATGGGTTTTTTATGCCATTTGTGCTCTCTTCCGATTCTTCACTAATTTCAATTAGATCAGTCTTTCTTGAGTCATCTAGGAGCCTTTGGGTCC